AGACCTGAAATCTTCGGGGTCCAATGCAATTCTTTGGTCTTAACTCATGGTGCCAGCTGAAGACTTTATTGTCCCCAAATGTCTCTCCAGTCTTCCTGGGGAAGTTGTTACATACAACAGGAATGGCAGGGTACGACATGTATCCTTGTGCTTAGCTTCTCTTTCAAAGCCACATTCACTGAGTGTTCAAGCTATGATACACAGGAGCAGCCAATATGTGGATTCCCCACTGTTGAGGCTCTCCTGAGAACATTTGTTAAAGCTCCTACTTGATGGAATCTGATTTACTGGAACCTGATTTACTTGCTGGAAGCTGGCGATAACAAGACCATTTCAAAGCTTTTCTCTTTACTCAGACTGAACTCATGTCTGCAGTAAAATTTCTCTGCAGTCCAGGGTTGTATAACAGTCTTCAGTGAAATGTTCAGCTGTCCTCCCCTAAATTTAGGTCTTTACACTGCTTACTTGACCCTAAATGTGCTTCAGATGCCCAGAATCCACAGAAAGCAATAACAGAAATGAATGCTTAAATGCCCACTGGAAACTATGAGTGTAATAAACACATAAAACTGCTGAAGAACTCAAGGGCAAATTTTTGTTTCATATCTTAGCTGGATTCTAGGGATCTTCTGTTGGAGATGCCAATTTTTGATTTTCCTAGTGGCTTAGCACAGCTTGGCCAGCTTTGGATTCAGCCTTGTGTCAGCACATGAGTCTTCGAAGACCAAAGGGACAATTTCTCTGCAATCTTTTTCTCTGGGTAAACAAAACATATTTCCCTAGGTTCTCTGTAGATCAAGATCACCTCCCACACAGCAGTGCAGGTTTAAAAGGTCAGCCATCTTTAAATAAGCCTTAATTGACACTTACTTCCCAGAATGAGGGTCATTACAGGTTAAGGTACAGTTCCCGAGGCAGTCAGTGACCTAATTCTAAACATCATTAATCCATCTCACTCTGAAAAATAACACTGGCATTTAGATAAGCCTGCTACCTTAAGGGATGTTGCTGCTGCTTTTCTGGAGGTTGGCCATGTCTGATTCCTTTGCCAAGAGTTCAGGTCATCTCCCACAACAGCTTCTCAGATGATACTGATGTTCAGCATTTGACTTGTTTCACTACTGAGTTTCTGGATCACTGTGTGCTGGAAGCATCTTGCCATGGGAGGGAGCACAACTTCTCTTCCTCTCACTCTGTTGCAGGTTGGCGAGGGCTTATCCAGTTCCCAGTTGCATTCTTCCACTTAGTCTCAAATGGTTGGCAATTTCTCCCACAGAGCATGGGTTTGAGCAGCTCCTGCTCCTCCAGCATATGCTGGAAATGTTTAGGATCAGGTAAGGGTTATGGGCAATGACTCGCCTGACTGTAGGCTGCACAAAGGACACTGTTATGTACAAGTCCTTTCTCTGGCACTTGTCTCCTCTCTTCTCTTACCTTCTCCGTTGTCCTGGGAAGGTACAGGGCAGCTGCTTTGGGTCCATGCTTGAGTCATCCTGCTGCTTGAGCAGAGGTAGCCAGTGGGCTGCCTGAGCATAGAAGCTGTAGCGATCCTCCTGCCCCAGCTCCGTACAAGCCTCTTCTGCAAGCTGATGCAGCAAGAGCTCAGACCCCAGCATAGTTGAGAAGGGACCTTCTAGCTGGTAACATATCCCTCCAGCCCTGGGGACAGACATCTCCTCAGTTCAGTTCCTCCCCCAGGATTGTTAGCCCAGATGCTACTGCACAACTATCCTTGACTAGATCCATTCACCAAAGGTCAATAGTCTAAAACACTTTAGTAGTAAATGAAAACAACAAATGAAATTGTATTTCCGAACAGGAGAAAGCTTATTTAAAATATTTTCTTACTTCTCAAAATAAGTTTGTTTATACCTGACATCTCTTCTGTGATACAACACTGCTTCCATTCAGGCTGAAATCATGGGGATGGGAAGAGTAAGTGCTGTGTCTTTCTGAGCCTGTATCTCACCTGCTGGAGCACAACCCTTCTATGCTGCAGGCTGTCACCATGACTGGAGCTCCTGGTGCTCCTCCCTGTCCACAGCAGTGCCAGTCTGACACTAATGGCCTGATAGGACAAGAAAAAGAGGTGGGTAACAAGAGGAGGCAAAGAGACATCAGGACCATCTGTCAGAAGCAGATGGCACCAGTGGAACAACTGGGGAACAGAGAAAAGAGCACTGATCTCCCACGAGAACCTGCACATGCTCCCATCAGCCCTTCCACCATCCACTTTTTCTTCTGCAACCAGAGGAAAGGCTTTGGGAAAGCTGTTTACCTTCTTTTTAAACAAGACACTAGTAGCACTAATATGATGAGAGCCATATCTCAAGACAACTTGCATCAATTCACTGTCCATAGCTTTGAAAAAGCAAGTTACATTTCTCTTGGGGTTACTTTGATATGTGCAGGTACAAAACCAGATCAAGAGATTGCAGATACCACATATTGAAGTAGAGTTCCCCAGCAAGAAGTTCATCACGAACACCGTGGTTGAGCCACCAAGGGAAACCATGGATCCATAAAGGATAGCTTTGTACTCAGAGCTTCAAAGGCAAAAAGGATGTTTGTAAGGCAAAGTAATAAGACACAGCTACTGTATGTGCTTTGCAATCTTTCATACCAGGCGTTTATGTATTTCTGCTGAGACTTAAGAGCTCAGCAGTGTTTGTAGCATCTAGTTCATTCTTTTCACCCAATTGCTGGTGCACCACAGAACCCCATCATTTTAGTTGACCCACATGTCAGCTTCAAAATTGGTAACCTAAGTCTTTAGAGAGAAAGAAAGAGAGAGGGAGGGGAGAAAAGAAGAAGGAATGCAAAAGCACTGTTGTATCCCTATTACTGAGCCAAGATCATGTTCATCTTGGTCTTGTGCCCTGCCTGAGGGAGAAAGATACTGTTGCTGGAAAAGAGGATATGGGTGTCCTAGGGAGCAGAAGAACATGAAACAGATTACCCGAATTGCTTCTTATCCTAATTAACTCTCAGGACAAAACACCTCTGTGTGCATAAGAACAGTATCACCATCTCAGACCAAAGATCTTTCTGCTGGGGCCCTGAGCCCTTGGGTAGGAAAGAGATGTCAGAGGAAGGGAAGGTTTAAGTGACTCTTCCCTTGGCTTTACTCTTCTCAGGGGCCAACTTTTGAAGAGCTTCCTGACCTGATGGTTGTGTTGCTCCATCTCATTTGGCAGCCCCTAGGGCATACAACCTCCCCTGTCTCTTTGAGCCACCCTTACACTTACCAGAGCATTCTGGGATGAGGACTGCAGCGGTCACCACCCTCCCTATTAAAACACCTTCTAGGTGGGGAAAAGTGAGTATGTCTAAATTCAACTGTAACTGATTTTATTTTTATAGCTGGGGTTGAAGGTCTGTACGCTAATTTGGATACTAATAGCCCAGGATTAGTGAATATGTTCTCTGCGTGGCTGCATAAATGAGGTTTGCTGTGATACACCAAAAATGAGATTCTCTATGCCAAGAGGTTCACCATCAATGATGAATGGTTGGAGCTGTGTGTTAATCTAGGTCTGGTAAAAACAGGCAAAGGACTACCTATAAAGATTTTTTCCCAAGGATTGCTATTGATATTATTTATCAGTTTAATAGCGTGCTATAGAAGAAAGTCTAGTTTAGGGTCCTCTTAACATTCAGTTCAGTAATACACCGAGCAGTGAGTGCTGTTGAGAAATTTGGCCTTCTCACTCCTGTGGGAGAGGCGAAGCATTAATAAGGTACACACAGGCTACCAATTTCAGTTCAAGCCTCCAGTAAATAAGGTTCAGCCTTCTGCTGTGCATCAGGGTGATGAAGAGGCCAATGTTGCAGTGTGATTCCTGCTTTTTTCCTTTTGACTCAAAGAAATGTCAGCCTACTCTTGACACATTTGAAATATCTGTACTGTGGTCTGCAAGTCCTGTTTCAGGACTTGCTAGAAGACATATTTCATGTTTTTATTTAATTTCTCTTTTTCTTTTTCCTTCGTCTTGGATAAACTGTTCACTAATGGCTTGCTTCAATGTTTAGGATTGTATTGTATAAAACACTGGATTTAGTCATACAAAGTAACAGCCAAGTTACAACTGTGTCTTTAATATTAGCAAGGCTATACATTTTTGTTTTCAAATAAATAAAATGGGCATAATCCCCAGCTGGAAAAAAACAAAAAACAACAACAACAAAAAAACACCACAAACAAACTAGTGTAGATCTGTGAATTTTCAGGCAGAGAGACCTTTAGACCAGTTGAGAAAACATCCCATTTCATCTCCTTTCATTTAATTTTGCTTCATTTTGTTTCATTTCCTATTAAATCTTTGTTAAGGAAACATAAAAGAACAAACAAATTATATTGTAAAGCTGATGCACTCAGGATTTAAGGTACTCTGCTCAAACTGATGGCTGAGATCCACAGTTCATGTTCATTTACCAGCTAAAAAGCCATTCAATCCGGTATGTATTTCTTGGAGCAAGCTACCTTTGTGTTTTGGAATTTGTACAGCTTTTCACACAAGGGCTAGTTTGAGTTTCTTTGAACGTGGTTAATAGAGACCTAAAGTAACAATTATGAGATTATTTAGTTCTCTGGTTTGTGCATTAGATTGAGGAGCCTGTGCTGCTGTGATCTACAGAACCAAACATGGAGAGACCAACCTAAAATCCCTTCTGGGTGCAAACGCCCATTAGTTTTGATATAAGAAATGACCCCAGACTAGAAGCGATTTCCTAGTACCTGAATACCCACCTCCCAGTGTTATAGGACTGTAGAGTCAACACTTCAAATATTTCATACTGATGTCTATGGAGCTTAAGTGTGTGTTGCCATTTGATCCTACTCAGCAGCTGAACGCCCCGCAGCCGCTCACCCACCCTCCCCCCACTTGGGAATGGGGAGGGAATCGGAGGGGCAAAGGGAGACTCGCGGGTTGAGATAAAAACAGTTGAATAACAGTAACAGAACAATACGCTGACACCAGTACCAACAGGTAATGTACCACACAGCTGCTCACCACCCACCTGCTCCCGGCCGGCAATCCCGAACACCAAGGCCCCCCAGCACCGCTCCCGGAAGTGGCAGCCCCTCCCGGCCCTCTCCTGCCTTTATATAGTGAGTGTAATGTCACATGACATGGACTATCGGCCAATCGGGGCCCAGCCCTCCAGCTGTGCTCCCCCCGCCCCCGCACACAGGTGAGGGCACTCGGACCTGGGGAGCCCCTGGGGTCTCACCAGCTGCCAAACCAACAGGAACTTTAGTCCAGCCCCAACCAGGACAGTGTGAAACTGCCATCACTTAGTGAAAGTCACCCCACCACACAGGGAGTTACCCTGCCTTTACCAGAAGAGATCACTACTCAGATGGATTTTTTTTTTCCCAACCTACAGCTGCACTGTAGCAGACTTCATATTTAATCCTGCTTGCCACTTCAGCACTCATTCTGGAAAAAACGGAGCTAATATGCCTTCCCAAAGCCAGAGCAGTCTTACAAAGGCAAAAGCCCTCCTGGCTCTGAAGGTCTCTTCAAGTGGAGAGATAGAGGTAGAAGGTGGCAAATCCTCAGCCCAAATCCAAGCTGGTAGCAACAAGACTGCTTCTTCTGGTTTTCAAGCAGAGGAGTCAGCCATCAGGTTCAGTCGATATGCATGATATACAGAGACCGAAATGTCATACCACTGGCATGAATCAGGTTTACTCCCATCAATGCTAGCATGAAGAGATCCTCATGAATTAGAGTTGGCCAAAGTGTTCTAAAAGATGTCCCCAGCTTCCTTTGCAGAGCAAACACCAGCTGGTGGTGGTAGGGAGCTGGGGAAAAAAGCCATTAGTGTTGCTATTTAGCTACCTCCTTTCAATGTTCACTTATTGCTACATGCAAAATATGAATCGTAATGTCAGTCTCTTATCCATTAGGAGTTAAGCAGTGTAACAGTCACTGTGAAATAATCACACTGGGCATTTCTAATTGAGCACGCTTTCTGTGTAACAGCTGACCTCCTCACAGACCTGAAGCAAAACGAAGCATGCTCAAAAGATTTGAATCCCTTTACCCAGCGCCATGAGTATGTTCACACACCCTTGATCCAGACTGAGCTCTAGGTGAGCACAGTTCCTGAGCTGGCTGATCTAAGCCCAGCAGAGACATCTGTGGTCCTCTGCCTGCACTGCTGCCCCATCCATCTCCGTCAGTCCCACATGCCTACATATCGTTGTTTCTCCGCACGCACAGCGTTACTGTTGGTGCCAGGTACATGGCAGTGGAAATTATGGGGATCCCTTCCACACTGGTTTCCAAGCCCTCCGTACTGAAGGACAATCAAAGGCCCTGAGGACCTTCAACTCCATGATCAGATCGAACTGCCCCAGGAGCTGGAGAACACTAGGGTGGAAGCACACACAGGTATGAGTGTGCAGAGCAGCCCTGCGGCTTGTCCCATCCCTCCTGAAGAGGCAGGACTGGGGTGAAAGCCAGTGTTTTGAGCACCGCTTGCCAGGCCACAGCTTTGATGGCAACCCTGGCCCTGCACTGTGCCCACCGCTGCCTGCCGCAAGCACTGCAGGCATTACGCTCTTCACAGTGGGGACCAGCCTCCAGATGGTCCACCACGCTACCAGTGACTGATGGGCAGGGTCTCCAGGGGTCCCACAGGACTCCCGGGGTGTCTCTGGACCCTGCCGTGGGTTGGTGTTCCCACCGTGCTTCCACAGCCTGGAACATGGCAGCTGCTGCCACGGCCGGCACAGGCCAGGGCGGGTGCCAAGGTGGCTGCCCATGGCAGGGCGTGGATGTATACACCCAGGGCCATGTGGTGGTGAATGAGTGCAGGAACACCACCAGGAGAGGGGTCTACACCATTGGAGATGTCTGCGGGACAGCCCTCCTCACCCCAGCTGTGCCCCACACCCCGCAGCTCCTCGTCCCCGTGCTGTGCTGTGGCTCAGGCTCCCCATCCCTCTCCACAGTGTGAACTGCAGCTGCAGAAAGCCGGCGCACAAGCTCTTCAAGGGTGAGCAGGACTCCCAGCTGGACTACCACGATAACCCCACCATCATCTTCAGCCATGAAGCACCATGGGCCTCACGGCAGGACGCGGGGTGCAGCAGCATGGGGGAAGAGGCTTAGGACATGGCGGCTCAGAGTTGCTGGTTTGATGCTTGAGGGATCAATCTGACCTCCGGCCAGCGATCTGAGCCTTGAAAAGTGTGCTCTAACTCTCTCTTCTATGGTACATCCCCTGCCTTCTGGTCGTGTCTTCTGCTGCAGATGAAGCTGTGACCATGCACAGGAGGGAGAACGTGAAGATCTACAGCACGTCCTTCAGCCCTCATACCATGCCATCCCCCCAGAGGAAGTTTCAGTGTGTCATGAAGCTGGTGCGCACTGGTGAGGAGAAGCCACCTGAGTGGGGCGGAGCGGGCGGGCGCTGGGACCATGAGGCCGCCAGACCGCCCCGCCCTCTGGCCACGCCTCCGCCCGCTGGGCCCGCCCCCGAGGAGCCTTCTCTATGCAATGGGCGGGGCGTGTCCCCGGGAAGAGGGCGTGTCTTTCGGAGGGGGCGTGGTCCGCGGCCCCGGCCCCGGCCCCGGGGCGCGGCGGCGGCCGGGCGGGCGGGGATCGGGGATCCCCGGGCGCTCGGAGCCGCGTCCGCCCGCCCCGGGTGAGGAGCGGGAGGTTGGGCCCGGGGGAACCGGCTCGGGGCCGGCGGGTCTCCCGGCCGGGGCGGGTGGGCAGGCGGCGGAGCCCGGGCGGCCGCGCTGCCGGCGGCTCCGCGGAGGAGCAGGCGGGGCCGCCGGGGAATAAAGCCCGGAGGGTCGGAGCCCGGCGCCCCCCGTCCTCGCCCGAGCCGCCCGCTGCCACGCGGGGCCGGGCCCACCCCTCCCCGCCGGTCCCCAAGCACCGACCGGGGGTCCCGGGGCCGTCCCCGGCACCCCACACCGGGCCGGGGAGGCTGGAGCTCAGCCCCGGGGACTCAGCCGGGTGTTTGGGACTCGAGCCCCGGCTCCTGCGGCCGGTTTTGGGACTCAGCAGCACAGACCCATTCGGGGGTTTCCCGGGCTTGGAAACGGAGCCCAAATCCTGCATTTTTGGGGCTGGGCAGCGGGCTTTTGGGGCTGGGCTGGGGGGTTGGAGCAGAGACTGGGTCCTGCGTGTTTGGGCTCAGAAACGGAGGCCGAGCGGGGCTGGTTCTGGGGCCAAACCCAGGGGCCAGGCTGGCCAGTGGTGCGGGGGGGTGGGAGGGCGCTGGGGCTGAGCGGGGGGTGGGCCCTGGCCAGAGATGGGGGTCCGGTCGTGTTGGTCCCCAAAAGTTGGGAGAGCGGCACGCACCAGGCTGAATGAAACAGCTGTGATTGCAGTCTCGGGGGGGAGGGGGGACGTGGGTGGGGAAAGCACTTTTCACATCATCTTCGAATCCAGCTCTTTATCCAGGGTGTGCACAACATCCGGAATAGTCATTAACTCCTTAGTCCATATTTAGACAATGTACAATTATGACAGTTCATATTCATACACAAGTTACATCAGTGGTTGATTTATGACCTTGTCGAAAGCCAAGATCATTTGAACAAGCTGAAATGAACTGGAGCTGGTGCTGAAATGAACTGGAGCCGATTACGAGCTCGACATGAAACAAACCAGAGCAGAAACAAACAGGGGTGAATGAGCCAGAGGCAAAATTGAACTGGAGCAGAAATGAGCTGAAGCCATCCACACACTGGACCTGCAAACAAACCGGAGCCCAAACTAAACTGGAATCATACATGAGTTGGGCCTGAAACAAACCGGGGGCTGAGACAACCACCCTGAAGCTGCGGCCAAGCTGCAGCCACGCAGACCCCACAGTGTCCCCACAGTGTCTCCAGACGGGCAGAGCCGGTGAGCACGGGCAGGGGTGTTCCCCCCCCACGGGCAGCCCAGGCAGCCCGGCTTCTTCAGCGGGGCTCCACACCCCACATGGGTGTCTTGGGCACAAGTGGCTCCCAGTATGGCTGGGGCACCTCTGTCCACCAGTCCCTGTGCAGGGGGAGATGCTCTGCTCCCACTGCAGCACGTTTTGAGCTGAAAAATAAGGTTTTGGGTAAAAGGAGGGCATGGTGCAGGGCCCTGAGCCACCCCAAGGCCCTGCCATGGCAGCACCTGATGCTGCCGGCTCTGGCCCTCGGGCATCACCGGCGAGGGTGATTCCAGGCAGGGCTGAACCCCAGTGGAAACCAGTTTGCCCCAGCAGCAGCTCCCACACTCACCAGTTCAGACTCTTCCCAGCTCCGGCAGAGCCAGCCCCGGGACAGAGGGGTTTGTCCTGCCGGCAGCCGCTCCGGTAAAGAGCTGGGGAGAATAAACCAGCTGGGAGGAGGGAGTCCCGGGGGCAGGAGGGGTCGCGGCTGCCCTGGGAGACCCCCAGCCCCGGCGGGTCCCCACCTCCCCCGGGGGACACGGCTGGGAGCCAGGACCGGGAGCCACGGGCGTGATCGAGCAGACGCTGACCCCGCGGTGGGAATCGGGAGCTGCAGGGGACCCCCAGCCCTGAAAGCTGAGCTGCAGCCGCTGCCCCCCGGGAGGGGACCCCGGCAGCTGCCTGCGGGCAGGGCACGGACCCGAACTGCAGGCAGCACCGAAAGGGCAGCGGCCGGTGCCCCCCGCTCCCGCAGCGGAGCCAGCGGGCGGGAGGAGAAGGGAGGAAAAGGCCCCGGGTTGTCTCGGGTTTTTCCCCGTTTTTTCTTCGGTGTCCTTCCCCGCGGCCCCGTCCCACGGCCCCAAGGCAGCCCGGGAAAGCGTTGGGACCGTGAAAGCCGCCGCTGGAGAAGCCCGGAGGTAGACGGGACACCCATCACAGCGGCACCCTGGCCCCGGCCCAAGGCGCGCCGGGGGGTCGCCGGTGTCCTTTGAGACGCGGCGGCAGCACCGGGAGCTGCTGCCGTGACAGGGAAGCGGCCGCTGCCCACGGTGCCCGGGCCGCCCCGGAGACGAGCCCCGCGCCCCGCAGGGTCCGCTCTGTCCAAAGACCCGGGCGCCGGGACCCCGCGGCCCCGCGGCCCCGCCCCCTGCCGGCCTCACGGGGGGAACGGGAAGTCCCGGAGCCGTCGCGCACCTGCCCCGCACGGCGGCGCCCCCTGGCGGGCGCGGCGCGACACCGCCATGCGCAGCGCCCCCTGGCG